GCGTGCACGTGCGATGTACCCACGCGAGCTACCCATAACTTGCAACGCAGAATTATCAAGATAATTCGCGCACAGGCAAGACATGCACACACTATTCATGAATAGTCGCTGCACTGCCCTGCCCCCCTCACTCGTCCAGGCTCCTGTTGGCCTTCGGATGGAGGCGTCGAAGGATGCGGTCCGCTCTCCGGCGTCGCACCCTGTCGGCCCTGCTGGGGTTGGCGGGCCAGCCTGGGCACCCTCTGGCCAGGCCCTCCATCCGCCGCCTGGCGTGGGCCCCGCACGCTGCGCAGACCACGTAGCCGTGCACCTCGCGGACCACGCAGACTTTTTCGCACGCGCCGAGGGCCCCGCTCGGGCCGCAGGGTTCGGCGGCGCCCTCGGCCTCGCTGCAGGCGCGGGCCCGCCTGCCTCGGCGGCGGCCTCTGCCTCCACTGGCCGCGCAGGCGGCGCCTCGGCCACGCTGGAGCGGGACCCCCCTTCGCCAATGTCGGCCTCGCCCTCTGGGGCCAGCGCCTCGACCTGCGGCGCCTCCCTGGGGCTCCTCACGCCTTCTCGCACTGGGCCCGCGGCTGCTCGGAGCAGGTAAGCGATCTTCTCGCTGTCGCTCCGCGCCGTCGCAGCTGGCTCAAGGCCACGCGAGGGCCCCCCAAACGCCGCAATGGCGGCCCTTCCTGTCACCCACTCGTGGCCACTGCCGGCCCTCCGCTCGCCGTCAGGCTGGCCACTCGGCCCCGCCCAAGCCGCCTGGCGCCCGAGGATCGTGATCTGCCTGGGGTCCGCCTCAGGCGCGCCCATTCTCCTCCGAGGCATGGGCGCGCACGGGCTGGCCAACAAGTTCCAGCGCGCCGAGGCGGAGGCGGCCTTCCTCATTCAGGCCCTGCAGCGAATGCCCTTGCCGAAAACCTCGAGGTCGTGCTGGGCCAGGTCGAGGGGGCGACTGCTGGTGCACGCCTTCCTGGGCGGCGGCCTGTCCGACGGCATCGGCTGCATGTCGTTCCAGTCGTCAACCCGCTCGTGCCACCAGCCGATGTTGTGGAGCGCCCACCCCGCCTTCTGGCTAGCTTCCTTGATCGCCTGGTCCCTGCCGAAGCCCGCGTCGAGCTCCGCGGCCTGCTTTGCCAAGCGGTCCACCTCTTGGTTCCCGAGGGCCGCCCTCCTCTCGGGGCCCTCCAGGGTCGCCATCACCGCTCGGCTGCGGTGCGCCTTGCAGTGCCTCACCGCATTCACGGGCACCTCGCGATCCTCGACGCAGAACCAGATCTGCCTCCAGGCGACGGGTCGCGCGCTTGCCGTTGCAGCACCACGCCCGGCCACGGCGCAGCCCCAGCACGATGGCCAGGTGGTCTGTATAGATCACGCACGGCTCGCTCGCGCCCAATGCCTCCGTCCTGATGTGCCTCAGCACCTGCAGGAAGCCCCAGAGCTCTGCGCGCTTGATTGTGCGCTGGGTCGGCAGGGCGACCGGCAGGGGGCCCCAGGCCTACGCGGTGGCTCTGCCCTTGGCGTCGACCGCCATGGCCGCCCAGCCCGTCTGGGCCCACAGCGAGCTGCCCAACTTCGAGCCGTCGCAGACGACCACGCCCTCGAACTCCGCCTCCAGGCTGTCTGGTCGGGCGTCGCCGCCGCCTCCGAGGGGCCCCTCGACTGCCGCGGCCGCGCCTCCGCCGGCCGCGGCCCCGCCTGCGCCCGCGACGAGCCGCCCGGCGGCCCTGGCGGCGCCCGGGCGGGCTCCCGGCGGGGGCCGGGAGCGGCCCCAGACACTGTGTTTTTCCCCAGGGGAAAACACGGTCCGCGACGAGCCCCCTGGCCCCCCGGCGGCGGCCCCTGGAAGCCCCCCTTGCAAGGGCCTCCCCGGCGGCTCCAGCGGCCCTGGCGGCGGCCCTGGCTGCGGTGCCAGATGCACCAGCGGCGGTCGCGGCGGCGACCCCGGACAGGCCTGACCCATCTTGGAAAAGGTCAAGGCTACGGCCTGGCGCCGGCAGGGGGGGGGGCGGCGGCCCTCCGGGCAGCCCCGGAAGCCTCCGAGGCCATCGCCGACTGGCTCCTCGCTGCGTGGCTGCCGCTGCCGCCGTCCGCTGCCGCTCGGTCTCAGGCTCGCTGAAGCTGCCTCCTAGCCCGAAGACGTCCTCCTCCTCGTCTAGCCAGGGGTCCTCGCCACCATCGGCTTCTCCTACCAGCTCGACGGCCTCCTCGGGAGCCCGCGGCGCCTGCCCGTCGGACGGGCGTGGGGGGTCGTCTGCCTGCTGCGCGTCTCCTAAAATTGGGGCTTTGGCCCCACAAGAGTTACCCGCGCAGCAAGGCTATTAGGGCCAGGGACTACGGACCACTGCATAGCAAGTTCGCGGTAGCCCCTGGCCCGCTGATTCGACCGGATCAGCAAGCCAGCCATACAGGTAGAAACCAAACTAGTGGGATTACGATGTACAACTGCAGGGCCCTGGCTCGCAGGCCAGAGGATTTATTAATCAATTCTTGGCGCGTTCCACGGCCACCCCAG